AAATGTAAATCGATCAATCGATATGGAACATCAATGATATTTTATTATCTTAATTATAAGAAATTTTAAATATTTTAAATATTGTGATAAGACGGATTAAAATAAATAATTGTTAGAGTATTAACAATATGACGCAATTACACTATCTTATAGATAGATTATAGAAAAAGTAGCTTTATTTTTAATTAATGCTGTCACGATATTCTTAACCTTAATTGGTGTTCTGAAGTGTAAAGACATGTTTCAAATTGAAATTATAGAGGTTCACACGAAACTTTCTTACAATGAACGAAAATAACAAAGCTGATGACCCAAAATTCGTAACATATTTAGTTAAAAACGATTTTCATTTAATTTTGCAATTCCAGCGCTTTTTCTGCGCAAGGCCCACGTGTGAGAAAGTAAAAATATGTGGAAGGCTGTGTTATTAGAATGTCTGTACAGATTATCGAGAGCCGAGTTAAGTTGTATCGCCGCTCGTACTTTACCACTTCTACTCCACATGCCTACGCTTCAGTCCTGTGTAATTTTAAGCGTTAGTGCAAGCAAGTTCATCATGCAGACCGACACAGTCTTCCTCTAACGAATCAATTTATATGTTTGCCCCACAACTTTCAAATGCCAAGTCAATATATGAGTGCATTTGTTGAATAATAAACGCGAAAGCTTTTTATTTATTCAGTGTAACAATAAATTGTGCTGTGAAGCATTCTTGTACCTTATAAGCACTTCCGGTACTTCAACTCCTTAATATTCGAAAGCTTCAAAATCCACTTGCTGGATTCATATATGGTAACGCTGTTACTCATAAAAGTTATCGATATGGCATAGGTAAGACAGTCACGTCATTGCATGCCAAACTCCTTATTCAATTGCGTTTTACAATTAACGGTAAGGCGGCTTCAGAACACGCCGTGCATGCGCCGATAATTTTATTGCGTACCGGAAAATTCATCTTCCTTGTTTAACTCTTACAAACTCTATGAGGGAGGAGGAGTTTCTTGCCAGTTGATATGACAATATTTTTCTTGAGGTTTGTGAAATTTGCTTCATATTAAAACATTGCAATTAACATTATAATTTCTTAGTAGTGTTTATTTTATCATGCACTAATTTATTGTACAGTAGTATTTTCTTGCAAATGTAGTAGGTTTGGAGTTCAGAATTTGCTTTCCTTAACTTAAATAGTGTCTGTAGGCTTGTTCGGCAGATACGCGCAAAAATGAAACTCCCTTGACAACTGTGTTCGAAGTTTAAATAGAAGATTTCGTATGTCAAATCTTGTCTGACGTCATTGGGAAATTTCGGAAAATGAATAAAAAACACGATCTGTCCATTAAGCATTCATTTTATGTAATTTGCGTAAAGATCACATATAAAGTCAATAATTCAATTGTACATGAAAGTATACAGTGCATGAAAGGAACTAAGTTTTTTACTGAATAGAAGCTTGTATGTTTCTGTATTCATGGTCACTGTGATGCTGGCCCTGTTGTAGGAATTTACTTACCAGCTGAGTAACAATCAGTTGTTCGTCTAATTAATTCAGTTGCTGTCTGGTAAAAGTTCACCGTGACGGTTTTCATAAAGACTTTCTTGGCCGTGTTCTCGAAAACCTGTCGTGGTCTCGTTCCGATTTAAATAATATGTGGATGCGAACGTATAAAAACAAGCAAGGACACTTAATCATTAGACGTGTGAAATAGTTTAGGCAGGGTACTTAATCAGGGCATGCACAGAAAATAAGTCGCCTACACTAAATATTATTATTTCTGACATATTGTAGTATTTATAAAAATGTTTGGTGGCCCCAGTTGAGAATTTTGAAGTCAGTTTTTATATAGTTATATGTTATTCTTATTTGTAAGCATCAGGATCGTTAACGAAATACACTTCGCATACGACATCTTAGACTTAATGAACATTCAGACTTAAATCTGTTCTTACACCCAGCCGTTTAGCCACTCCAATTTGCTAACTAACGCTCTAACGTCTCAAGTCAAGATTGGGTTGTCATTTGGTTTATCTGATTATCTTTTGTGATTCAAGTCAGTCCCTCCAGGTCAGTACCACGACTCCTTCCTTTTAAACTCTTCCCTGCCTCCCTGAAAATAGAAGCGATATGTTTCTCCGAAGCGTCCTTAACCACCTACAAGATTACGCGGCGTCACAGCCCAGAAACATTTTCACTGCTGCTAGAGCCTTCGATGTTAAATAACGGATTACTTACTTCCTTATCGGTTCGAGCAGTATTGTGACATTGCAAAGTATTTGCATAGGAATGTCGCCCACAGGTCGATACCGTGAAGCCAAACAGTAGCGCAGCGCTTTGGTGCTGCGAAGTAAATAGCTTCCACGTGACGAAGCTCCATACTGCCTTACGCATTATTCTCTTCACAATTACATAGTTCTATACAATCGAACCTTTTTAGTATACCTTTCCAAGCTTTCC